GCGGGTTTCGAAGGAGGGAGCCTAGTTTCTGAACGACGTTCCAGTTGGATTCGTTCCGGACGCATCGATCCCTGTGCGCGGCGCGTGTCGGGGGTGGAAAATCGTTGGCGTACGGAGCATGAACGGCTCGAGTTCGGAGCGTTCGCGGAGCTGACGCGTCGGCGGATCGCGGGTCGATCTTAGCCGAGAGGATCTCGCGAGGGATGGGTGACCGGTAGGTGTACCGACCTAACCCGGAGCAGCAGATGCGGAGGAGCGGAGCTCGCGTCGCTCGGCCGTAGTTAGGGTGGAAAGGGGAATCGGGAGATCGGAGAGAGCTGGGAACGGACGGCGGAACGCGGATCGCGCAGAATTCGGGGTTATCTGGTGCAATTGGCGCGGTATCGACGCGCCCTAATCGCGCCGCGAGTGCTGCTGGCTCGCCGCATCCGGAGATACGAGGCGCGCAGCTGGTGACCGAGTGAGGGAACAGCGGAAAGCGGTCAACCAACAACGACCGACGACGTATACGAGGCGAGTCGAACGCGTGCTACGGAAAAGTGCGAATCGGTCGGTCGACCGGCCGAGTTACCGGGCGGTGCGCGCGAGCCTGCCAGTGCCGTGCGGACCGATAAGAGCAACAAGAACTACCAGACGACGACCACGACGACCACGACGCAGAACACGACCACGACCGCGAACGTGAACGCGGCCCAGCGGAAGAAGGGAGCACGCGCGGCGCACCATAGAGGACAACGGTGTTGCTATTTTCGAGCCCGCCAAATATCTCCGCGTACGGTGCGCTCGCTCTCGTCGTTGCCGTTGTCCGTGGCCAATCCTGCCGCACGCGCGCGATCTTTCTTCGGTCGGGACCGCGTCCGTGTCCGCGTCCACGTTCCTCCGAAGCGCAGCCAATTCTGCGCCGATGACGCATGGCCCTGACCAAACAGGGCGAGAGAAACAGAGAGATAGACCGACGGAGAGAGACACACGGGGAAAGAGAGAGAAAGACCGCGAAACATCGCGAAAGAGAAGCCAGCAAACCAGCCAGCCAGCCAGCTATCCGACCAGCTATCAGACCAGCCAACCGACCAGCCAGCCAGCCAGCTAGCTAGTCGACCGCTAGCGGGAGAAAGACCGAGCGAACTGCGTGTGACAGGTACGTCGCGACTCCTCGGCTTTTCGCGAAACCGTGAAACGCGAATCGCCGGCCGATCTCTTGACCCACCGCAAATCTGGACCGCGACCGTCGTGTCGCTGCTCCGATTCCCGCTGCTCGACGCGCGTCGACCTTCGCCCGTGCCATCGACGGCTTTCGTCGATCGGCTCTCATCGAAGAGTCGGACGAGTCGATGACGGTCGCGCGTTCCCAGGCGTCGACGTTCGTTGTGCACCGTGCAAGGGAAACGTTCACATCTCTATGAAGCCTTTTATGCTAGCGATTACAAAAGGGACGTGTAAATGTTCTAGCAACTTGCGATTTATTCTTGAATGGGCACGTGCTATAACGATGGAATCCGCGCTGCTCCGAAAACGGCAGCAAGGATGTCGGTTCGTGGTCTGTGCTTCGGACCTGCTCGCTCGTACCGCATGGTTGAGAATGCTCGCGTAATACTCGACACGCGACACGCGACGCGCGAACCTGTAGGGGAAAGTAGGGTAAAATGGAACGCTTTTTTTTTTTAATTGTGACAACAAAGTTTCTGGAGCAATAAACGCCTGAAGTCTTTTTTGGTAGACTTAAGTAGACCTCAGGTTATGAGGAAACGGAAGATTTTTTTAATAAGAATATTTAGTTACGAAAGGTAACACGATTTTCTAAAGGTATCGAGATGTCCGCTTCGCGAAAGGGGTAGGGTAGAATTCGTGTAAAATCATACGAAGATATGCCACCTTTTTCTGCATTGGTGCAATCTAATTAGTCAGTTTTTATCTCATCTTCGATTTTAATTTGCTGGACATCGACACTATTACACATAACCAATTGAAACCACGAAGCACTGGTCTGTGCTGAAGTGTTCCGCTTTGCCCCGCGCATCATAATTTAGAAAAGCGTTTAAAATTCGTAGTTTGGCATGGAGTAAAGAAATAACTCAAATGTCAAAGATACAGTTGAAGAATTAGAACCCATATCCTGCAGCCATCATATTCAATTTTTTAATTGAACGGTAAAAAAGAAATGGCTCTAATATCTAAGTAACATCAAAACATTTCACTGAATACCTTTCCAATGTTTGTAATCGAAAAATAACTCGCACTCTGCAAATCGATTTCAAGCTACACCGAGGACTTATTACAACGATGTCACGCGATATCAATTCGATGCGAGCTCTTTATTTATGAAAAAATATTGCTGTTCTGTTTCACCCCACGTCCTCATACATAGTTCGCGCGTTTCGTCTCCGATTGAGCGGGAAGGAAATCGATGCGAGAACCCACGGATTGATAATTACTAGCTGCGCTTCCCACCTGGACGGTGCCCGAAACGAAACGGTCCGCGCTATCGATATCGCGCCTCGCGCAACAGGTGAGAAGTTGCACGCGTCGAATTCGCCACCGAGCGTTCGACGCCGGTCTTTCCACTTTCGCGCACCGATGCATCCGAGTCACGTTCTCACCAAGTTGCAGCTTCGACGAGTTTCGAGAGGTGGGTTGCCCGGTTGCGATGCACGCGCGTTGCCAGTCAAGGGGAGATCAGGTACCGTTAGGCATCTCGGCATAGATCTACCGCGGGAATGCGAAATTCGACATGGACTGATAAAAAATATTTACTTTGCGACCGTTCAACGGACAGTCGAAGCGTGTACTTGGCCGTTCGGCGCTGTTCGTCTCCTTCCCCGAGGCTTTTGAAGCGGCCTGTAATGTTACGGAAGGAGGAAGAGATTCGAAAAGATTAGGGAAGAGGGTGAGAGCGTTTCGTCCGGGATCTACCAGTGGAATCATCGGTAAGATTTTCTGGCAGACCCATGGCTCGAAAGGACTGAGCAAGAGCGACAAAGGCTGTTAGGTGTCAGTAGCCCTCTATTGGCAGAGTAGGAAAGGTGCCGCCACACTTTCTTCCACTTTCCACCGTCCTTTCGGAGGTAACCTTTTACGATATCTGCTTCATTCTCCTCCGTTCCTCGAGCTTTCCAGTTCAGTTGTTGTTCGAGAAGGAAAGGACCGTCCCCACCCGACCGCCGCACACGCTTCCCTTCCGAGTATTTCCACTTTGCTCGCGTTTGATTGCTCCGATCGGTCTTCGATCGCGTGGCTAGTCGGAGAAAGTTGCGGCGTAAATTCGCTAAAATCCAAGATCGTCCGGTGAAGTTCCGCAAGCTTCTCCAGCGAGGAACAGGAGACCGGTGTCCAGAGTCCAGAGTCCAGAGTCCAGAGATCGGAGACCGGAGACCGGAGACCGGAGACGAGCCAGGCCGGTTTCAGGTGATCATTGATCGTTCACTTTTTTGGTTGTCGATGATCAAAGCCGAGCGACGCGGTGGCCGCGCCTAAATCGACTTTAAATCGCAATAAGCCGCGCAAAAACTGCACGGGGCGGATTTGCCTCGCGCGCGAGCGCGTTCACTTTCGACCGCAAAAACAACAGTGAAAAAACCGATCCTCCCATATGCGCGTATTTCCCATTCCAATCGAGCTTCGTTCGAGACCGGGACTGCGAGATCGCGAATCCACTCGAACGCGAGTTTCAATGTTGCGTGGTTCGTTTCGAAGACGTACCCGTGGATTGTGCGAATGAATGAGAAGCGTGGAAGGGGTTCCGTGACATTTTTCACGGATCAATCGTCGATCTGGTCCCGAAATCCTTTATCGCGTTTCAAGAGCGTCGCGTGATCGATCGTCATCGCGGGCACCCGTGTAAACATCATCCCGCTATAAGT